ATGGTAAATGATCACTCTACTTACAGGCTTCTGGCCTCTTGCTAAAATTAATTCTGTACATTTAGTTATAACTGGTTTTCTTAAACAATGAACAGACCAAAATATTTTACAGCAAACATCATCAGTGCTGAAATGTGTCAATCATTCTGTCTGCTGCTCTCAAGGTAGAATTCAGCCATATGATTTTACAGAAGCTAAATAATAAATGGGGGGTGGAGAGAGAAATCACTAAGGAACACACACACACACACACACACACACACACACACACACACACACACACACACACACAGAAATCTGAGTCCTAAATGAGCTAATACATCTCAAGAATTCTGTCAAAATAAAATCCAATATACCTCACTCCCCAAGGGGCCAGAATTCATCCTTTCTGTTATTAAGCCAAATCTATCTCATCTCTGGTAGTACACAGAGGAAAAAATCAATAACATTTTATTTTACTGATCAATAACCATGTGCAGTATTTACTCCATAATTAATTGCATGAGAGGAACATCAAATTGCATGGCAAAGTAAATGCACAATCTGAGAGAGGTGAAGCTGATATGTAGTGTTATGAATAGCAAGATGTAACAACTTTAGAGCACTGTGTGACCAAGTCGGTGAGGGAAAATTATGTTGTATTTGATTTCCATCCTGACTGAATTAATTTAATGTAGATTGGGTGCTGTGGCAAGAACAAAAAGGGAAGCAACACAATGGCTACTAGCTAAGAACACCCAGTCTCACACTTGAAAAAGATCTGCTTCAGGTACCTTACATCCTGTGTCAGAGGAAGATGCATGCAAGTCTGCGTTGCCCAGCTGGGAACATGGAACTCAAAAGAAACCCAAATAGTAAAAAAAAAAAAAAAAAAACCCTACAGACAGTTTGGTGATGCACTGTCTAGTCTGTCTGGCCCAACAAAGACCATCAGCTAGTCAGTTGACACATTGGCTATGTCTAGACTACAAACCTCTTTCGAAAGAGAGCATCTAGACTACAAGCAGATTTTTCGAAAAAGTGAGTCGCTTTTTTGAAAGAGAGTCTAGACGCTCTCTTTTGAAAAAGCACAGTTTGCATTGAATAGCATGTTTTTTTGAAAAAATACTTTTGAAAAAAGGCATTATTCTGAGGTTTACTGCGCTCAAAAAAACTGCCACGTTCTTTCGATTTACTTTTCAAAGAATGCAGCTGCAGTATAGATGCAGGTGAAGTTTTTCCAAAAAAGGCTGTTTTTTTAAAAAAAAACCTGAGGTCTAGACACACCAATTGAGATAAGGCAGGGGATACACCTTATGACTCAGCAAGACATGTAGGGGCATGTCTATGGACAGAAAACTTCCAGACCATGTTCTAGGCATCCTGTGTATGAGAGAAGGAAGTAGAAGCCATGTGGCAAAATGTCATAGAGTTCAAAGCAATATTTTTTCTTGTCACCTCAGGTGAAGGTTAAAACAGTGAGGAGTCTTGTGGCACCTTAAATATTAACATGTTCATTTTTAAGGTGCCACAGAATTTCTCATCATTTTTGCAGATGCAAACCAGCACAGCACCCTCTGATACTTTCCACAAATGAAGTCTGACCAAAGTACTGAATGACACATTCAAGCTATGGATGTGCCCCAAAAGACACTAACCAATTCACCAGTAGTGCAAGGAACCTGATGGACTTTGAAGTTTATGGATATGACTGTTTGACCATTTAACATCTCTCCTCTTGTTCTCTTTTCTTTACAATAAAACTTTTGTTTTAGACAATAAAGGATTAGCTGGTAGCATAGTATTTTGGGTAAGATCTAAACCTGCGTGACTGGTAATGTGGCTGTATCTGTAAAAACAACAAGGAGTCCTGTCGCACCTTAAAGACTAACAGATTTTATTTGGGTAAAACCACTTTGTCAGATGCCTGGACTCCATGCATCTGACAATGTTGGGTTTTTATCCACGAAAGCTTATGCCCAAATAAATCTGTTAATCTTTAAGGTGCCACGGGACTCCTTGCTTTTATTTTTGTTTTGTTTTTTTAAATAACTTACTGAGCCTCGGTGCTGGCAGCCAGACAACTGGATTTCAATAAAAGAAGCTGTGGGGATTGCTTTTCCTCCCTTTTTGATAACCAGTGTGGGAGATCAGAAGCACAGTTTGTGACTGGTTGGGAAGATTCAATTTAGCTTTACCCACCAGTGTTGGGGAATATCCAACATACCCTTTTGCAGCCTGCCCTAATGTTGACATTTCCAGTATAGTCTGCCCCATGCACCTCTGGTCACATCAAGGACAAAGAGTGTTGTTACCCTGATTATGTGAATCAAGGACAGTGGAATAGTGGAACTTTTTTATGACAGAGGGATTCGCCATAAACTAAGTAGCACTCGCTAGACAACGGGCATGGGTTCCAAACCCAGTCAAGCTGAGAGAGGCTGGGGACAGGTATTTGAACCAGGTGGTGGGGCCCTGTCTGAGGGCATGTGACGGGGTGGGCCCCGCCTACCCCACCGAAGCAGGCCCACCCCGCACTGATCCCGCAATCGTGCTCTCACTTCTGGGGATGGCGCGGCGGGAACTGACAACTTGCGGGTGGTGCAGCGCCGTCGTGCACCAGCCGGGCAACGGGACAGCTGGTGTTGCTAGGCAACGCGCCCCACGTGAGCGGGGAGGCAGGGTGGCCGGAAGTGACGTCGGAAGGCAGGGAGGAGTGACGTCAGACGCCCAGGGAAGGAGCTCCGGGGGAGGTATAACCCCCCCCTTCCGGAGCGTAAGGGGGGGGGGCGGCGGTTGGGGAGAAAGGAGCGAGGAGCACAGAACGAGGGATATAGGGGGCATTGAAGCAGGTAGGGTGGAAGTAGCCCAGGGCAGGGCACGGAGCCGGTGCACCGGTGGTTAAGGGGATAAACCCCTCCGGTGGGAGAGGTCCGAGAGACTCTGTCCTTAGGGCCCTGGGCTGGGGTCTGAGAGTGAGGGTGGGCCCCGACCCCCCACTCCGCGCACCCTAGGCGCAACGAAACAGAAAAAACTGCTAGTAGCTATAGTCACGCAACTCGGGAAGACTACAAAAGGGAGGGGGAGCAACGGGGCCCCCACAGGGCCTAAAAACACCAATTGCATCCCCTCCTTTCTCTACTGTGAAATATCAGAGCTAATTTGGATTCCATTAGGAGTCTAGTTGCAAGCTGCTGAGCTGACTTCACTGTGAGCCAATGATACACTAGCACTGAGGCTCCTCTATGCACTGAACTTGCTGAAGAGCTGAACTCACTGGCTGTGTCTAGACTGGCAAGTTTTTCCGGAAAATTAGCAGCTTTTCCAGAAAAACTTGCCAGCTGTCTACACTGGCCACTTGAATTTCCGGAAAAGCACTGACGATCTCATGTAAAATCATCAGTGCTTTTCCGGAAAAACTATACTGCTCCCGTTCGGGCAAAAGTCTTTTTCCAAAAGACTTTTGCCCAAAAGGGCCAGTGTAGACAGCATAGTACTGTTTTCCGCAAAAAAGCCCCGATCGCAAAAATGGCGATCGGGGCTTTTTTGTGGAAAAGCGTGTCTAGATTGGCCACAGACGCTTTTCCGCAAAAATTGCTTTTGCAGAAAAGCATCCTGGCAATCTAGATGCGCTTTTCCAAAAATGCTTTTAACTGAAAACTTTTCCGTTAAAAGCATTTTTGGAAATTCATGCCAGTCTAGACGTAGCCACTGTGTGCTGAGGGGAGCCTCATGCTGTTTTGCTGAAGAGCTGAAATCTACTATGAGCTGAAATCACTGTGTGCTGTGGGGAGCCTGACGTTATACTGCTGAGCTACTAGCAGAGCAGTTCGTGGGATGGCTAGCAAGCAGTTTGCGGGAAAGACTGGCAGGTGCATGCGACCAGCAGAGCGGTTGGCGGGGACGACCAGCGGGCAGCCAGTAGGAGTGGCAGCAGGCAGCCAGTGAAGCAGCTGCAGGAACAACCAGCTGGCAGCCAGTGGCGTGGACCAAGATGGCTGGCAGAGCAGGACAGTTCGTGGGACAGCTGGAGCGGCTCATGGGACAGCAGGTGGAATGTGGCAGAGTGACTTGCATTAACAGTGGCAGTAGAACCCTATGGAGAGGCGGAGCCGTCGGCAGACCATGTAAGGTATATCAATCCCCGCCCCCTCCATTCCATCCAGGTTGGGATAGGAAAACCCTGCCAGTGAACTTTTGAACCCTGGGGCGGCACTGACCTAGGGCAGAGACTTTTGGGGTGTCGGACTTTGGGTGATTCTTGGCTGGGGGGGGGGTCTTTGTTCATGTTTGGTCTATGAATCTGAGTTGTGGTGTTTTCCCAATTTAATGCTGATGTCGGTTACCTCATGTTATTAAAGATTTGCCTCTATACCGAAGCTCTGTGCTTGCGAGAGGGGAAGAATTACCTCTTTGAGGCGCCCAGGGGTGTGTGTAAGATTTCCCAGGTCACTGGGTGGGGGCTCGAGGCAGTGTTGTATTATGTTGTTGGGAGGAGACCTCTAGATACTGAACCTGGCCCTTGCAGCTATTAACTCAGCCTGGCAGAAGGGTTACACTATATGTAAGTAAATGCACATGCCCAAACCAATGCCTGATAATTCTCTCTAGTAAAAAAAAATCTTTCTTTTGTGGCTGTCATAATTCATTGTAGGATTGGGAAACAGAGCATGACTTGATGATAGTCTGTTCTTTTCATTCCCTCAGGGGCACCTGCCATTCCATTGGCCACTGTCGGAAGATAGAATATTGGGCTAGACGAACCTTTGGTCTGAACCAGTCTAGCCATTCTTATCTAGATTATTCACCCATCTAGATACTGCATAATCCACAGTAGTAAACAGTGGGAGTCTCCCCTCCAATTGTGTTTGACCATCTGTATCGCTGCCCTGAAGTCACACCGTGGGCCAAGCCAAATTTCTGGCCATTCCAGAAAGCAGCCAATTGCACCAATCCAGTCTCATCATCCCAGATGGCAAACAGGTGGGTATAAATTAAGGTTTCTATCCGCAGTTGCTGCTGCTGCTCTGTGAGGACATAGCTATTGGCCACTGTTCAGCCAAGGTTGGTACTGGACTGGTTGCACTGGATTGACAGCTCTGGACATGAATGCATGACAAGCTGCTGGGAAAGGATATCAGTCATGACAAGTCAACAGAAACTGCAGAAAGTAGGTGTTTTCTTCTAGATCTTCTTGTGAGAAGTGTGTGTTGTTTATTGGAACTATTGTCAACGTTATGTGCAGCAGGCTGTTTTCATTTTTTCGTAGTCCTCCATAATGGGATCTTGCCAAAGTTCTGGAGGAGCTACATGAGCCAACACTTAGAAATTAGATATGAATGTGTGATTATGGCAACTACTAATGATATGGGTAGCTGTACTCAGTTCTGAATCAATGGGATGAGTACGCCAGCATCTGCCTCAAACTGTTGTATAACAACAAATAGGAAATAAAACCAGAACTGAGAATAGGTTTCACTCCCCAGAAGGTTCCTGACAGATTCTGCTGGATGGTGGCCAGCAGAGACGCATTGTGGGGGGATAAATGAACTGTCCAGATCTGTCCAATCCCCAGTAAAAAAGAAAACAATCTCAAATAAATGCAACCTTTTTGTTATTGCTGTTAATAGTATGTAGTAAATTTGGATAAACTTCCCACCTCCTTGCTTGCTTCTTAACTTGGATTCTTTATTATGGTCTCAGCTGGTCTAGCAACTTTTAAACAGAAGGTGATGTATTAACATGATATGGGTTCCAGCTTTACCCTGGGGTTTCAATCAGGAGGAACAGAATTCAGTAAATTCTGAGCAACTTTGAGCTGGAGAGGTGCAAAGAGTGTGAAATTTGATAAGACCATGTGACCAGATTCCAACATAGAAATCCCTGAATTGACATCGCTCTAAACAGAATATCATCAAAGACAGGGAACTCCTGGGGTCAGGTAGAAGGAACCAACATGGAAATAAGAAACCAGACTATGTATCTGGTTGGGGTGAGAAGGCAGAAGGGATGGGAGGCAGAGAAGATGGAGTACGGGGGTGAAAAGACAGGAGGAATAAGGAAGTAGACTAGTACCCACAGAATGCACAGATGAGGCCTGATAAGAATTCAAACTTAAAGGGATTCACCAGAGTGAACTGTATGAAATTTACCCAGCTGCAATATTTTGTGTCTTCTCACTATTGGGCAGAAGTTTTAGTAAATGTGGAAATTTCTGTGAGCTGGTATGTAATTATAAAGCACCGTGAGTGGGTTTCTTTGAACTGTTCCTTAAGCAAGGATTTTCAGGCTTTCTTAAGATACCATGCTATTTTCTATGGACATTTTCCTCTTTTTTTAGGCATAGATCACAGGGTCTCTATTGTCTGTGTATATTTATCAGGAATTTTGCACTGAATATGGTTTTCTTTTTGCCTTCAGCAGTGTAAGGAGTTCAGAGCAGTAAAGTCTTTGTCAATTCACATTTCATGCTAGCTGCTCAGAGGAAAAGAGTAGCAACTGCTAATCTGTAACCTAGAAATAATGCTCTGTGCCTTGAGGGGCAGATATATACCCTCCGAAAATATTAGAGCAGAGAAAATTTTCAGGGCAAATAATCTATTGGATTCACTGCACCTGGTTTTGGGGCTTTTTCTCCTCTTTGAGACCCGGTTAATTTTCTCAAATTCAAGTTATGTTGATTGGTTTTCAAAGAACATTTGTGTTGCATGTTCCTTATTCAAACTATTTGCATCAAGCTTCCAGTGCAAATACTCATGTTTAGAAATTCAAAATGAATCCCTATTAATATGGTATTGCTTAAAATTCACAGTGTCCATGAACAATCCTGTACATAGGGGCTGCGTCTACACTGGCATTATTCTGCGCAAATACTTTTAACGGAAAAAAATTTCCGTTAAAAGTATTTGCGCAAGAGAGAGTCTACACTGGCATGTGCTTTTGTGCAAAAGATGTGCTTTTGCACAAAAGCATCTATGCCAGTGTAGACGCTCTCTTGTGCAAGAAAGCACCAATGGCCATTTTAGCCATCGGGCTTTCTTGCGCAAGAAATTAATATTGCCTGTCTACACTGGCCTCTTGCACAAGAATACTTGTGCAAGAGGGCTTATCCCTGAGCGGGAGCGTCAGAGTGTTTGCGCAAGAAGCACTGATTTCGTACATTAGAACATCAGTGTTCTTGCGCAAATACTCGCGGCCAGTGTAGACAGGTGGCAAGATTTTGCGCAAAAGCTTGCCAATGTAGACACAGCCTAGGAGAAAGGGTGGGAGAGACAGCTTGAGTTATAAGGCATTCATTGGGAGTCAGGAATGTAATGTATGGATAAATTGTATTATACACTTCAGCCACAGGACTCATAGAATCATAGGATATGAGAACTGGAGGGGACCTTGAGAGATCACCAAGTGTACTCCCCTGCCTTCATGGCAGGACGAAGCAACATCTAACTCATGCCTGATAGATGCTTATCTAACCTGCTCTTAAATATCTTCATGGAGATTCCACAATCCCCCCAGGCAATTTATTCCAGTGTTTAACCACCCTGACAGGAAGTTTTTTCTAATGCCCAACCTAAACCTCCCTTGCTGCAGTTTAAGCCCATTGCCTATCCTCGGAGGTCAAGCACAATCATTTTTCTCCCTCCTCCTTGTAATACCATTTTAGACTCTAAAATTTTATCTCTTTGATCTGCCCTGAGGGGTACAGTGGTGGCCACTCTGCCTACACAGCAGGGGCTCCCCAGGAAAGTTTATTAATGTGTCAGAAGATGGAGCAGGAATTCTTGCTGCACTTCTCTACAAAGCTCTCAGAGTGATACTCTTTCATCCTTCTCAGAAGGCTTCTGGGGTGCCCTGCCTTTTTCTGTCCTCCCCAGTAGGACACCTTTTCATGCCAAGCCAGCAGTAAGTGACCAGGCATCATTGCAGCACAAAGCATTGCAGCATAAGGTCAGGTCTGGGCCCATTCCATCAGCATCTGCTCCCTATCATGCTCTGTGATTCGGAGAAGACTGATAGGCTACGTCTACACTGGCATGAATTTCTGAAAATGCTTTTAACGGAAAAGTTTTCCATTAAAAGCATTTTCAGAAAAGTGCTTCTAGATTGGCAGGATGCTTTGGCGCAGAAGCACTTTTTGCGGAAAAGCGTCCGTGGCCAATCTAGACGCGGTGAAAAAGGCATGAAAAAGGCGATCGGGGCTTTTTTGCGGAAAACAGTACTATGCTGTCTACACTGGCCCTTTTGCGCAAAAGTCTTTCGGAAAAAGACTTTTGCCCAAACGGGAGCAGCATAGTTTTTCCAGAAAAGCACTGATGATGTTACATGAGATCGTCAGTGCTTTTCTGGAAATTCAAGCAGCCAGTGTAGACAGCTGGCAAGTTTTTCCGCAAAAGCAGATGATTTTGCGGAAAAACTTGCCAGTCTAGACACAGCCATAGTGTGCATGGCAACCTGAATGAAATAGGGGAAACACCATAACTGACAGCACTGAGGCATCCTATCCCCAACTAATCATGACTCCAGGTTTGCTGCCACCTTTGCAAAGGGCTCGAAGGGGTTATCCCAGGCTATAAACACACCTGGTCATCCTCCCCTCCACCCAAGCTATTGTGGGAAAGGAGAGCTGCAGGCATGCTGGGGTGTGGTGAACACACCCTGACCACATGAGCCCTTACAAATGCATTTGGTCCTACCCTCTTTTGCAGGGCCCTTTTGCAAATGCAGACACCTAGGTATCCAGGAAGGCCGAACATTACAAACACTCTGTCACACATTTTCAGTGGGAAAGCAAAAGAGCAAGAACCCCAACCTGTTGCTTACCATGCCTGCCATCACACCAAGCCCAGTTGCCCTGTGCTGTGTCTAGACACTTAAAATAATAACTTGGGCTTTGTACATAACACATATCTTTCCTGCAGCATAGTGCTTCATTCACTGAAAAAGAGTTAACCTTCTGTTTCACAATGCATCTCCTCTGAAGCCTACCCCCGATTCTTCTTCCGCCCCCCCCTCAAAAAACCCCTGCTCCAACAGTGTCTCTGTTACCCACACCCCCAAATCCTCCAGCACTTTGGCTACCACAGATCAGAAGAAGAAAAAACATTCACAGGATGACATTTTTAATGAACAAATGCAATCATCCCACACTGACAGAGCCCAACTGAATGCATGGAGGAGAACGATGTTACAGATCATACTGAACAGGAGAAGAGGAGAGCATGCAGGGAAGATGAGTGTAAGATGCAGGATGAGATTTTGAGACTTGAGTGAGCAAACCGAGCTCTTGCGTTAAAAGTATTTGCGCAAAATCTTGCCAATGTAGACGTAGCCCCAGTGACGTCTCCTGGAACAGAAGGTTGTCATTCCTACAGTTTTGATTGCTCCACAGGGGGATTACAATAAGCCATTTACCCTCACATCCCCCATCCCCCACCCCCCTATCAGAGCTCATGTCCTGAACTCCTTTTCTGTCTCTGTTCCCCGTGTTTCTTAAATAAAAATGCATGATTTCAAAACAATGGGATCTTTATTATCTGTGCTAACTATGTGGTGGTTTGGGGGTGGGTGGTCTACAGGCCATTACATATAATTCAGGGGACACTACATTAAGAGCAACATACATAAGTGTGACATCACAGTCAAAAAAAATGACACTTGTTTTCAAAGCCTCTCTGATTCACAGTGCCCCTCAGTGTGCTCTCCTTATTGCCCTGGTGTCTGGCTACTGATACATAGTGCTCATACATAGATTATAATCTGCCTCCCTCCCAACCCTGGCAGAAGCTTTTCCCCCCTTACTGTCACGCATATTATGGAGCACACAGCAAGCAGGCAAAACAATGGAAATGTTGTTTTCACTGAGGTCTAACCTAGATAATAAACTCTGAAATTATCCCTTTTAAATGGCCAAAGGCACAGTCCATCATCATTCTGAACTTGTGCAGCCTGTAGTTGGACTGCTCCTTACTGTGGTCCTGGCTGCCTGAGTATGGCTTCATGAGCCACAGAAGCAAGGGGTAGGCTGGGTCTCCAAGCATAACTATTGACATTTCAACATCTTCCAATGGTTATTTTCCAGTCTGGGAAGAAATAAAGCAGCCTTCTGAAGAGACCAGAGATCCTAAATTGCTCATGTCATGCTCCTTTCTTGACCATCCCACATGATGTTGGGGAACTGGCCTTTGTGATCCACCAGCATCTGCAATACCATTGAGAAGTACCCCATGCAGCTTATGTACTCTTTGGCAAGATGGTCCGGTGCCAAGATAGGGATATGCATTCCTATCTATCCCCCCACCACATTTAGGGGACCCCATTATGGCAAAGCCATCGACTATATCCTGCATGTAGCTGCCTATATTTGAAAGTTTAGCTCTCAGTGAAAGTTAGGGTGATGTGAAATATGGTTATATTTGTATGACACACAATTGTGCATAAGAAGCTACAGGATATTAATTCTTTTCATTATTTTAAGCTGTCTTCATTATTAGTGCACATTGCTTTGATTTATAAATGCTTCAGGCTCAGTGATAGGTACAGTGCTGTGCATTCAGTGGGCTTAATTGAATAAGGCAAAATGGGAACAAAATTACTTCATTAAAAGGAAATATCTCATCTCTTATTGCATTAATGGACCATTTTTTCCCCTGGTTTCAACACAGGGAACCTAGCTGGTCTAAATCAGTGTATGTGTGCATTTGTGTGCTTTGTTTTCAAATGAATTTACATGGTTTAGACATTTAAATCAATCGCCCCTTATAAATAGCACAGCGGTATTTGCTGATTTAGACTATGAGTCTACAAATTGTTCCATGTACCTGCAGGAAATAAGATGAAGGGTCAAGGCCAATTTTGGAAACATTTTAACCCAAAGGAAGTGGAATGCAAACTTGCCCATTCCAAGTCAGAGCCATAGAGCTACAGAGTCAATGTTCAACTTGATTCAAATCCTACTGAAGTGAATTGAAAGACCAAAGGTGCCTGAATTAGTGGTGGGTGGGAGGTGGTGCTGCAGAATCCCCGGCTTGAAGTGGTTTCCATTATATGCAGGGTTCCAGTTTGGTATAACAGCTGTCAACATCCCCATGACACAAATTGTCATAGCACGCCTGGGAAAGACCCTCACGGATTTCAGTGGGCTTTGTGTAACACATTAAACAGAATAAGGTTTTATGTACATAGAAAGGAAAAAAATAAACTCAAAGCCACTTTTCAGCATAAAAGATCATATAACCTACAAGTGACATTTTGACATCCCCTGGCAAGAAGCAAAATGAATCATGAAACATCTTATTTGCTCTGTACATCACAGGGCCTTATGCTGACAAGGGTGACCGTCTTCCCGCGGCACTTGAGGAGACCAGCCTCACATTCAGTCATAGTCCTACTGGCGGCTTTCCCATTCACTTCAACGCAGATGCTTATTCCTCCCTCGTCGCATTGCCCAGCTTCTCGGCACACACACATGTTGGTTTGAGCTTAAAAAAACCACACACAGCAGTATTAGTATCTAATCCACTGAAGGAAAAACAGGTTCCTAACCAGCTATCAGAAACTGTCCCAGTAACTGAGCTCTTGGTCAGATGTTAATCAATATTCCAGTTCAGTAGAAAAACTACAAGGACATTCAGGCTGGTGTGCTGTTGCAACAAGAGTCAGAAGCCGTGTTTCCTGTAAACTGTGCACTTGTGCAGCCACTCAGGAGAGATTTTAATGCCACCCAGCTGAATAGCAGATCACCCACAGCTAGGTTTTGTTTCTGCTGGTGATGCACATTCACACATGCCTACGTGCACATAAAATTTATTTTGCACATGGATGGAAAAATACACACGTGGATGGAAAAGATGAGAGAGGATATTGGTTATAAGTGTGTACTGGGACTGCTGCTAGTCGGAGCGGTTTTTTAAGTGCTTGCTGAGGATGACCCATTTAAAATTACTGCTTGAAAAAATACTAGCATGATTTATTAGTTGTTAAGTGGACCAGAAACTTTAAAAAAAACACATAAGATGAGAGGTTCCTGTTCCAGAGAGTAATAAGCCAAGACCCTGATCCTGCAGACTCTACATATGTGTTTATTTTTACTAACATAAATAATCTCACTAGTTCTGCTCACATACGTAAAAGTATGCACATGCATAAGCGTTCACAGGATCAGGGCCTAAATAGCAACATGCAAACAATAAGGGGTATGAGATTTATTTTCCATTCCTATTTCCATTCATGTTTGTGTATTTAGGTATAAATCTACAGTTAGCTGGCCTTATTTAAGGCTGAGCTATTTTGAATGTCTATTTGTTTAATTTTTGCCCAATTTCTTCACTTTCTATTTTAACCCTTTACCCATTTTATATTTTATATAGTTGTTTATTTTCAAAGCAATATTTGTTAAGGATCATTGCTTGAATCCACTAGACAAGAGATAAAAATGTTTTTGATAGAGTTTTATTGTAAGATATGTAACAATAATTAGTATGTATGTAGGGATTTCAAATCATTTTATAAATGCTACTTTTGTTCAGCCTAGATGTAGCAGAATTTACAAAGAAGATTCAATGATAAGAATCATTAGGAGCTTGGAAGAACTTCTATTTGAGGATAAATTGAAAAGATTGCAAATGTGTACTTTAGAAAAGAGAGAGAAATGAGTGTATAATGTACAAGTCCATGTGACGATATGGAGCACAGCACTTCTATTCACTTCTGTTTGCTTTTGCTCATAATGAAGGACCAAGGGGACTTTCAATGAAACTGAAAGACAGCAAGGAAGTACTTTTTCCACACAATGTGTAATTAGCCACTGAATTTTTATTGCTCCAAGATAACATTAGAGCAAACACTCCAAGGGATTCAGAAAAGGATTGGACATGGGTGTGAATAGTAACATCCAGAGTTAAGATGAGCAAGGATTTAGAAACAGACACCGGGGTAAAATTGTGGTCCCTCTGAAGTTAGTGGGAATTTTACCATTGATTTCATGGGGTCAGGATTTTACCCCATAGGCTCTAGAAGGGATATGAAATATCCTGCTTTGACCTCTAATTCATGGGATTTTGCAAGAAACTGTCCCTATGGACAGGTCATTCCACAATTATTTCCTACAGGCTTTTTTTTTTTCAGCACAGAAGCTTCTGGTTGGTATTAGAGACCAGACATTGGACTAGATGGGACTAAGTTCTGCTTCAGGAGGGCAAGTCTGATGTTCCTAAAACTTCTGAAAGGTAGGAATTATTATATGTTTTATAAATGAGTTAATGGAAGCACATCAAGCCAAGAGCAGAGTCATGGCCAGTGTACAAGTGGCTATAGGTTTTCTTTTATTCACAAGCAGCTTTTCTTAGTCCATCCCCATTAATTGTGAGGACTCACCATTACATGTTTCCCACAAATGACATGAGCCACAAGGTTTTGCAGCTGCAGCAGGCATTTTGCAGTTTTCCTCACTGGTCAAAGAGTATTCTCTGCCCATACACTCAAGAGCATACATCTTACACACTGTTAAGGCTGTGTTTCTCTTGTTTCTCTCATCTGTGGCACACACATCCAGGGATGGTCTGAAAAGAAAAGCGGAAATCAGGTTTTTTCATATGCCTTACCTTGATACCCTTTAAACGGAAAAAACAAACCATTGTGTCATATTATGATCTTGTGTACATTGGTGTATCCACAGCAACTTCAGTGAAGTTACTTGTGGCTTACATCCAGGTAAGTGAGATCAGAATTAGGCTCTCTTCGGGTATGTCTACACTTGCACCCTCTTTCAAGAGAGGATGCAAATGTAGACATTCGAAATTGCAAATGAAGCCAGATTTAAATATCTCGTACTTCATTTGCATATTTGCATTCTGGCACTATATTGAAATAGAGCTATTTCGAAATAACAGACGCTGTTAAGACATGGTTATTTCGAGAGAAAACCCTTCTCTTAAAATAACTGGTAAACCTCATTGTATGAGGAATAAGGGTTATTTTGAGAGAAGGGTTTTCTCTCAAAATAACTGTGTCTTAACAGTGTCTTATTTCGAAATAGCGCTATTTCAAACTAGCACCATAACGTAAATATGCAAATGAAGCATGGGATATTTAAATCTGGCTTCATTTGCAATTTCGAATGTCTACATTTGCATCCCTCTTTCGAAAGAGGGTGCAAGTGTAGACATACCCTTTGTGTCTTCAGCATAAGTATGCTTTGCGTAACTGAGACCTTTATCTTCCCTTTGAAGTCCCTGTGAATTTTGAATTGACTTCAGTGGGAGCATGTTTTAACCTTTGGGCCCAGATCCAGCAAGGCACCCAGATTTAGGTGTCTAAATATTGGTTTTTAGGTATCACTGAGATCCACAAATTGGCTGCTTCACTGCTGCCTCTCCTTCTTGACAGCTATTAAGAAGCACAAGCAACAGGATGAAAGATAATATGGAGCATAATATATTGCCATTATATAAATTATTGATACTCCCTAGAACACACTGAGCAGTGCTTTCCAAATGGACTGGAGAGTTTGGAGGTGTTCAGAGAAGGGTGACAAGTATGTGAGGGTATGTCTACACTACCACCCTAGTTCGAACTACGGTGGTTAATGTAGTCAATCGAAGTTGCAAATGAAGCCCGGGATTTAAATATCCTTTTGTATCTTGCCGGGCGCCGCCATTTTTAAATCCCCGATAGTTCGGACTCCGTGCCCACGGCTACACGTGGCACGGAGTAGGTAGTTCAAATTAGAAAGCCTAATTCGAACTACCTACTCCGTGCCGCATGTAGCCGCGGGCACAGAGTCCAAACTACCGGGGATTTAAAAATGGTGGCGCCCGGCAAGATGCAAATGAAGCCCGGGATATTTAAATCCCGGGCTTCATTTGCAACTTCGATTGACTACATTAACCATCCTAGTTCGAACTAGGGTAGTAGTATAGACATACCCATAGGAATAAGGAAAAAGCTCTCAGGGAAGAGTGACTGAAAATATTGTGATCACTGTAGAAATGAGATGAATAAGAGGCTATATGACAAAGCCTATTAAATAAAGAATGATTTAGGGAAGTTAGATCAGTAATTTCTATTATTGCTGTCATCTAGCTCTAGGAAAAGGTGGCATGCAAGGAAACTGAAAGGTGAGAAAATCAAAACTTATAAAAGGAAATAAAATCATAGAAATATAGCACTAGAAAGAACCTCAATAGGTCATAGTCCAGTCCCCTGCACTGAAGCAGGAATATGTATTTTTTCAACTGTTCCTGATGGATGTCCGTCTAATCTGTTCTTAAAAACCTCCAATGATGGTGATCCTGCAATTTACTTAGGTAATTTGTTCCAGGGCATAACTACCCTGACAATAAGTTTTTTCCTAATGTCTAACCTGGGTATCACTTGGTGGAATTTAAGACCATTTCTTCGAGTCCTGCGTTCAGTGTATAAAAAGTACAATTTACTATTCTTTTTATAACAAACTGTTAGAAAAGTGTTGTTATGTCCCCCTTTGCAATTCTCTTCACGTTCTCCTTCACAATCCCAAGTCAAACAAACCAATTTTTTTCAGTCTTTCCTCATAGGTAATGTTTTCTAGACCTTAAATCATTTTTGTTGCTCTTCTCTGGTCTTTCTTCAATTGGTTGACATCTTTCCTGATGTATAATGCCCAGAACTGAATACAAGACTCCAGTTAAGCCTTATCAGTGCTGACTAGAATGGAAGAATTGCTTCACATGTCTTGCTTCCAATATTGCTAATCCCATAATAGTGTTCACTTTTCTGCAGTAGTATTACATTGCTAACTCAAACTGACTTTGTGATCTACTATAACCCTCAGATTCTTTTCTGCAGGAATCTTTGCTAAGCAGTTATTCCCCATTTTGTACTTATATAAATGATTGCTCCTTCCTACCAGTTGTACTTTGCATTTGTATTGACTGAATTTCATCTTAATTATTTCAGGACATTTCTCCAGTTTGTCAAGATCATTTTGAATTCTGTCCTCCAAAGCACTTGCTAACCTTGGTATTAGCCACAAACTTTAGAAGTGTGCCATTTTCCAAATAATTTATTAGGAGTCACATTGAATAGAACTGGACCCTGGACAGATCCCTGTGATATACCATTCCAGCTTGACTGTAAACCACTGATAACTAGTCTGAGTACAATTTTCCAGCCAGGTGTCCATCTTTATAATAGGTTTGTTTTGGCAATATTTCCCTAATTCTCTTATGAAAAGGTCATGTGAGACTTGTGACGCCTGTCACCTTACTGATGCCCTATGCTCAGCACCCAAGTGTTTAGCGAGGCAGAGTGGCCAGCCACAGACCTGGAGATGGTGGAGCCAAACCCCAATTGGACTACACTGTGTAATCTGTTGTTGTTCCCAGCATAATCAATATAGGCTTGGCTAGTGTTCCCTCTAATTTGTGCGGCAGCACAGCTTGACAGGTGATTAATCAGCCCTGCCCAGTCAGAGGCTCAGGGCTCCATGACTGACTGGACAGAGATGATTAATCACCTGTGAAGCTGTGCTGCTGCGCAGCTCAGAGGGAACACTGGTCTTGGCAGTCAGTCGTATTGGAGCTTCTTATGCACAGTTCTGGATTTGGACGATGGCTTATTATTCTTCTATTGCCTGCTTTTTTGGCCTTTGACACTTTACTCAAAGTGGCAGAAAAGTAGATAAACAATTATTTTGCAATCAGTTCGCTATTTAAAAAAAAATCCCAATATTTAGCAGAGAGCATAAAACAATCATTAAAGAAGACTAGATGGAATAGGCACCTAGTCAGTTGAGATGAAGTTTGCTGCCATTTAGGGAATAAGAATGTAATTTAAACTTGTTCTCTTAGGTCTTATCTTTCCTATGACAGTAAATTGACCTAAATGACATTTACTCCAGCAACATAAATGACGTCACTGGAGTTGATGTAGCTTAGATCAAATTCCCCCAGCATCGTCATTGCCCTACGTTGACAGGAAATGTTCTCCCTTTGACTTCCTTTAGTCTTCTTGGTGAGATGGCGTATCGGGGTTGACTAGAGAGTTCTCTGCTGGTGATTTAATGGGTCTTTACTAAACCTGCTAAATAGACAACCCCTGCATTGATTGCAACAGCGTTGTTCTCCCTAGTGGTGAAGTCAAGCCCTTATTCTGAGCCTGGTACTACCTTAGTTTGTTGTGGAGACAACTCAGCGTCCACTCAGCCCACTTGAGGAAGTGTGGAAGTGATGACAGATTACATATTGTCTGTCTTAGGGTATGTCTACACTACCCTCCTAGTTCGAACTAGGAGGGTAATGTAGGCATCCCGCACTTGCAAAGGAAGCCCGGGATTTGAATTTTCCGGGCTTCATTTGCATAAGCAGGGAGCCGCCATTTTTAAAACCCCGCTGGGTCGAACCCCGTGCAGCGCAGCTACACGGAGCTCGAACTAGGGAGTTCGGACTAGGCTTCCTATTCCGAACTACCGGTACACCTAGTTCGAGCCCCGTGTAGCTGCGCTGCACGGGGTTCGACCCAGCGGGGTTTTAAAAATGGCGGCTCCCCGCTTATGCAAATGAAGCCCGGGAAATTCAAATCCCGGGCTTCCTTTGCAAGTGCGGGATGCCTACATTACCCTGCTAGTTCGAACTAGAGGGGTAGTGTACACATACCCTCAGGTATTAAGAAAGCCCTCAGCACCATAGTATCTGAGCACATCCTACCTGTAATGTATTTATCCTCAAAACTCCTCCAGCAGGTAGGCAAGTGTAATTATTCTCCCTTTAAAAACGAGGAACGGGGAACAGAGATTCTGGGAATTTTAAAGGTATTTAAGCATCTCAAGATACAGTTGGGTGCCTAATGAGATTTTCAAAAGCAAGGTGCCTATCTGTGTGTTTAGGTGCCTAAATATCTTTAAAAATCCACCTGAAGTGATTTCCTGAGGGTCACACTGAATGTTTGAATTTAAAGCTATTGCCCTAACCATATGATCATCCTTTCTCATAGCACAGGGATGCATCAGACCTACTAAAACTGAATGAGACCCATTCACTTCAATTAATGTTCAGACATTCAAAATGTGCTAGGGAGAGCTTGTGGTAGCCAAGTGGCACTTTCAAAAATGCCTGCAGATAGACCAGACTAACATGGCTTCATCTCTATCACTATTCTGCATACATAAGAGTGCAACTTCCATTGATAAGTCCCAATGAAAATCCCCTCTGCCACCCTGGCTCACAGTGAATAGAACTTTCTTCCCTGAGCTACTCCACCAAAGTCAGTAGATTAGGACTATTCATGTACTTACTAATCCCTCACCAACAAGGGGCCAGATTCTCCATAGAGTACTGTTCCCTCTGAACAAGGGCCTGATTCTGTATAGTACTTGCCATGAGCCACTCCCATTGAGATGGAAATGGCCAAATTTCAAGCACTCACACCCAAAATGTTCAGCTGTTATCAAAATCTGGCGCCTACTGTGGGCACAGAACTCTTTTGAACATTCAGTCTTTACTGCCTATAGATCCCAGCCATTTTTCTGTTTTCACAAATTAAAAAAAAAAATTAGTGGTTGAACCACTTTTATTTCATGCACAATAAAGGCTAACCCAAACTGCAGCACCATTTGTCCCCTTTGTAAAGTGATCTGAAGACTCAAAGCACCATAGAAATCACAATAATAAACTCAAGCCAGACTGCACATTATGAGGTGCAAAAAGGTGACCTTGAGCACTCTACCAGTGTCACAAGATGGTTTCTTCAAATTGCTGTGTAAATAGATCAGATTATAGCACTCTCATAATTCTCCAGTCTCTCGATAAACTGCCTGGTTTATTTCACATGCTTATTACTTGGATAAGTTACGTCCCTGGGGAACTCAGCTCTTACTCTCCCTGGATCTTCTAAATATCTAGAATAACATTTTCTATTTTCTCTCATTTCACAGATTAAGTAGAGCTGAAATTATCCTTTTAACTTCAGCCATTTACCTAAGTTCCATCACTGCTAATGCCCGCTGACAGGTAAGTGAAGAACAGGGGACAGATTGAGCAGTACTGTAAACAAATCACAGTGCCTTTCCCTGGTATAAGTGAAGCTGTCTAATTGGTCATGGACTGAACTCCTGAGAAATTTAATTTGTCTTGAATAAAGTGAGAAAGTTATCGTCAACATCAGGCTGAACTTACCCACACTCATAAGGCATTTTACATACACATTTTGACTGCTGCACTTTCTCCCATGGCTGACATTTAAGTTCTGTCAATTCTGGTTTCACACTGGGTACTAAGGCGAAAGAACACAGACAAAACCATTATAAAGCAGAAAAAGAAAGGACTATTTAATGGCGACTGGAATTATCCCCATCGTTGCATTAAAAAGGCATTGGGTTATTACATTATGCTTTAAAATTACAGCCTGCTTGTTCATTAAATTATCTGTTGTGTAGCTGGAATCAATAGAATTTAAAAATATAATCAACTCTGTAGCAAGTGCAACTGCTGAATACTGTTCTAGCTCTGGGCCCAGAGTTAGACGGGGGGGACGTGAGTACTAGATGTGATTGTGGGATAATGAGACCATAGCTTATCGTGCTGATCAATGTTGTTTCCTTTTCCTCCCCTGTCAGTTTGTTTGTATCAATCTTCTGTCTCTTGTCTGCCTGCTCTTCTGGGTGGGGTCTGTCTTTTTGCCCTGTGTTTATACAGCACCTAGCACAATAGGCTCCTGCTGATAATACAAATAACAAAGAATAATAACAATTTGCAAGTGCTGTCTACAGTCTTAAATTCTACTCCCCATTCTACAGTAATGGTCTATTTCTGCTGTACTGATCAGCACTGAAAATAGTAATGTTAATAGCTACATTACTCTATCCATTAGGAAGCACTGCCTCTCCAATCACTACCAGGATTTCATCCAGACCAAATAACTACAATGGCTTACCTCTTCTTTTGCACTGAATATCCTTTATATCCGGAGACCACTTGAGGTTGGGCTCACAAAGAATGAGAGCTGCCCCTTCCAAATGCATGCCATCTTGACAGGACAGAGTTATCTTCTCTCCAATCTCATAAGAAGGTTTCCATGGCTCCCCTCTCATGCCCTCCATCAGGACAGGTAAGACACAAGCTGTTTCTAAGAAATGAAGACAGCAAAGGGAATGGTGACTTTGTAGTTTGATCAGAAAGTAGTCAAACATTTCTTGTCTTGCCTTAAATTCTTTGAGTCTATTGCCCATGTTAAGAACAAACTCAGCTATTATTCTTAGGAAGACCCTAATTGTATTAGTACAGAATATTAAGCTATTTGCTAAACATTAAGGCTGTGTCTAGACTGCAGGGTTTTTTCGAAAAAAGTAGCCTTTTTTCGAGAAAACTTCACCTGCGCCTAGACTACAGCCGTGTTCTTTCGAAATTAAATTGAAAGAACGTGGCTTTTCTTTCGACAGCGGTACTCCTCATTTCACAAGGAATAAAACCTTTTTTTGAAAGTGCTCTTTCGAAAAAAGGCGCTATATAATGCAAACTGTGCTTTTTCGAACAGAGCATCCAGACTGCCTGGGTGCTCTCTTTCGAAAAAGTGGCTTGCTTTTTCGAAAGTACTGGTTGCAGTCTAGATGCTCTTTTTCAAAAGAGGCTTTTTCAAAAGATACTTTCGAAAAAGCCTCTTTCGAAAGAGGCTTGCAGTCTAGACGTAGCCTAACTGGGTTGTTTGAGGCTGTACCAGAAACAAAGACAATCCCACCCCCAGACCTTCCAAACTAGTGTGCACTGGGATTTCCTAGGATAAACTACACAGGTGTAAATCATGTTTCACTAAGGTATTCATCTCTCACTGATGCAGTTACACCAGTGTCTGACACTCCAGTATAGACAAGATTCAGTTAAGATACATTGGGTATGTCTACACTACCCTGCTAGTTCGAACTAGGGGGGTAATGTAGGCATACCGCACTTGCAAATGAAGCCCGGGATTTGAATGTCCCGGGCTTCATTTGCATAAGCCAGCCGGCGCCATTTTTAAATGCCGGCTTGTTCGACCCCCGTGCCGCGCAGCTACACGCGGCACGGGCTAGATAGTTCGAACTAGAAAGCCATTCCACACTATCTGTACGTACGTGGAACAAGGCGTACAGATAGTGCGGAATGGCTTGCTAGTTCGAACTATCTAGCCCGTGCCGCGTGTAGCCGCGCGGCACGGGGGTCGAACAAGCCGGCATTTAAAAATGGCGCCGGCCGGCTTATGCAAATGAAGCCCGGGATTTGAATGTCCCGGGCTTCATTTGCAAGTGCGGTATGCCTACATTACCCCCCTAGTTCGAACTAGCAGGGTAGTGTAGACATACCCATTGAGAGGCCCAGGAGATGTTCAAGTTTTGTTTTGGTAGAGAAGGCAACTGATTGCCATGAGCTAATGTTTGTAGACAATGCAAAAGAAATGAGTCTTTTGCAGTGATGGAAATGAAGTAGTAGAAGCCTAATCCTGGGATTGGAAGGATAACTCCATGCATGTCATGGAAGCACAAGAATAGGAGGTCACAGAGTGGACATTAAGGCTGACACGTATGATAGTGAGAAGATGGGATCTGGATCTAGACCAAGCTGCTTTCTATCTAGAAGGATGCCTGTCTATTAGATGCACCATTTTAGTAGGTGACCCACAAATAAAAATGGATCACTGGGCTGCACAGCGGGAAGTGAGAAGAGAATGCTGGAGACATAAGCTAAAACATTTTTATACACCCCACTTAGTTCATTAGCTGAGTTTTGAGCTCACCAGGATACTACAATATCTACTGGAAAACTATCTCAGGCCAGAACTGTCCCTAAGACTGTGACAGGGCATTCCCTCCCGCGCTGAGCATGAGAGGGTTAAACCAGCTCTGAGGGCTGAGAAGGCTCCACTCCCTGAACCTTACTGAGCATGCCCAAGCTGTTGTGCTATAAAATAGAGCAGCCCAGCTCATTTGGGGCTTGTAGCCAGAGGGAAAGGATGTGCCTTACCAGCTCCAGGCAAACCAAAGTGACTGCCCAAACGCTGAGGCATCTAGAGGCTGCACAGGTTCCAGAAGCAAGTGGAAGTAGCCAGATCCCAGAGGAGGGAGGGGAGCTGGAGAGCCACCAGCAAACAGAAACATTTGAAGCAGGAAGCAGCACAGGGACGGTGATGGCTACAGGGTGAGTGAGCCGCCATTGGAGAGTCAGCATGTTGCAGCTGAATTTCCCTGCTGACTCAGTGGCTAGAACAAGCCACTAACAGGGCCCAAGGCTGGGGTCCAATGGAGAGGGAGGGTCTGGACCACCCCAACCTCCCACTGGGGGATGTAAATCTTTTCTCTATCTATGACCCCTTAAATAGACTCTGACCATTGGGTTGCATGGGAACTATTGAACTTTGCTGCCCTGCCAATAGGGGCTAGTTACAGACTTTGACTATTGGGACTGTCCTGTCAATAGGGGCTAGATACAGATTCTTACCAGGAGACTACAGGGAAGGATTAGACAGACTTTGGGTGTGTGAGATTGGAGACACCGGCTGGGGAGAAAGGGGGTGAATTCAAGCATGACAGGCATGAGGCAGGCACCCTCACCCTGTCCTGGATGAGCATGCAAACGGTGCTCAGCCATGTAACAAGGACCCCAAGTAAGTTTTTGCATTATTATTTTACACAGAGATTTTTGAAGTACATTAACTAATAATGATAATTTTTGGCCATAGGCTCCGGGCTAATTTGATCCCCAAATATGTGTCTCTTAGAAATGAATTCACCATCCACTCCAAGATGTATTAGTTAAGACCATGGAGAGTTTTTGTTCCTAAGGAGAATTAAGCAGATAGTATCCAGTATAGTAAGAGGGCTAAATTCTCTGTAAGCTGTGCAGCTTCATGACCCCGCAGCTGTTTTCTGAGCTCTGCTCAGAAATTCAGAGTTACCATGCATGCGGGGAGCTCAGCTGACCGGCAGAGGGAGTGGTGTCGTCTTGCTGAGCAAGCAACTAAATGGGGCTGCTCTGTACTTGAAACTCAGCAGCTTCTTGAGCAGGTAATAAAAAGTGAGATAAGGAGACAATAAGTGGCTGGGGTGGAAGGAGGGAAGGAGTGAGTAATTAATTAATTAATTAATTAATTGGCTGAGGTGGAGTAAGAGGGGAGGAGAGTTTGGAGAGTCCCAGCTGTGCCTGGAGAGAGAGGCAGAAACTGAGCGCACTCAGGCTTCCTGGGATGGGGGAGGTAAGGGGCTGACTGCATGAAGTAGGTAGGAGAAAAAGGGGGTATGGAGTGAGTTGGAAGGGGGGAGTGAGTTTGTGCTGTGAAGTGGGCGAGGTGTGGATAATTTGTGTTTTAGCTGGGAATTAGGACGGGGCAGACTGCTGGTGCCTGCTAGTCTGGGAAACCGATTTTATCCCAGCTCCCACATAGGCTGAGAAGAGCAGATTGTATAGGGGTAGGTTGGAAGAAAAGAGGGTGGGTGGGTGCTGGCATGTATGCAGTGAGGTGAAGGTAGGGGCAGTTTGTTTGGGTGTCCCTGACTAGCTGCAGTCCTCTGGCTGGCTGGGTTGGAGGAGGGAGAAGAGGGAAAGCAGGCTGCACGGAGTGGGTGTGTGCCAGGACATTTGCATGACAGCATTTCAAACGAAGTTTACATTGGTGTTAATGACTTAAAGTAAGAAAGAAAGATTCTTTTAACAGAATTTTTTGGAGTGTTGCACATATCTAAAACTCTGATTTCAATGATTTTTTTTAAAGCCTTTGTTACTAATTAATACATGCGGTATTATATTACATTAAGACCAGACCTTTGCTATGTGGTAGAGTTCTGGCTCTTATGAGTCAGAAGTAGCAAGTACTAGGTTTGATGCTAGTCGTTTTGTAGGATGAAACCTTATTTGCAAGCTCTTGGAAAAAATGCATCTGTCTACAAACCCTGAAGCCAGGTATTAATTTGTTCTGGGGCTTTTACATATATGGGTGTATATGTTTGTATTGGTGGTGCACATCCACACACTACCTCAATATTGGTGTTGCACATAAGAAATGTCAATCCTCTCAAGGATAGAAAATGTTAGTGGGAATACTGTAGGAGGGTACATCGGAGTCAGGAAGAAATTTACTTCTGCATTATACCTTTGGCCTGATGCATTGTGAAATTTCTGGTTCAATTTTTGCCTTCCTTACAACTAGAACAGATGAGCCAGTTGTCCATTATATTATAGCAATTTCTATATTCAAAGAAAGAAAAGCAATTTAAGTCTGATTCTAGGTTGAGAATTGAAAGACTGTGTCTGTGTACATTCCTCCTCTGCCCTTTCCTCTATTCTTGAAAAATAGATAAGGGGAAAGTTTCACTGGGATTCAAAAGTCAACTTTCAATTGTACTTTGCAGTGAAAATCAATTTAAACATACTCTTGCATTGCATATCCCCAATGAGCCACTTTAAACCTTGCCCACATTTAGCAACAGGATCACCAACAAGAGAATAACCATCTCTGCAGGCGTAAACAACACTTTTCCCAACAGGATATGAGGAATCAGCATTCTGAAAGGAAATAAAGAGGGGAAGCTTTGAATGTGAAACAATAAGTCTGTAATAACCACTAAAATATCAAACTCTTTTTTGATTTCTAAGAAATCTGACAATTAACTGAGCAAATATAATCCTATGGTTTGCAAGATTTCACCTTTCTCTTCTGAGATAAAATAATACATGCAGGATGATAAATCATTGACTGGAAAAACAATTTGCAAAATACATGTTAGAGTACAATCCTTCAAACCTTACTCATGTAGGTAGACTCCATGAAGGCCATTACGTTTTAGATTTTTTTAAAAACTGATTCCTAGTAAATTTAAGGGAAAGGTATTTCTTGTGCATTTGCTAAAACTTACAGTACTGCTAACAGGGCCATCCTTAGAAATTATGGGGCTCTACACAACTGAGAGCCCCCTAGCTTGGGGTCCAGGTGCTTCCCTCCCCCACCGGCCTAGTACGTGCTGGGAGCCTGGCCGCCTCGTGATTCCCCCTTTTTCCCTTCCCCACATAACTCCTTCCAGGGGTTGGTGATTTCCCCCCTCCCCCGACACTGCTTCCTTCATCCACCCATCCCCTGCAGCATACTGGAACTCAAGGGCTTCCCTGAGACTGGTGCAGTGCTGCAGAGGGTGAGCAGGGAGGCCTGGTCTGGTAGCAGGGAGGCCTCTGCTGCCTGAGAAGACCATGTTGGGGAGGAGGCAGGAAGGAGCCCTGCAGCAGCCACAAGCATACAGGTGTACACAACTGTGTAACGACACCTGAAAATGTGATGCCCTAAAATTATGGTGCCCCAAATTTTTGGCTGCCCTACACAGCCATGTATTTTGCGTATGCCTAGAGAGGGCCCTGACTGCTGTAAGTGTTAGCTATTTCTCATAGCAACCAAAAGAGTGCTAGGCACCTCACAGGATGGATAAGACACCATCGCTAGTCCACATATAAGGTCTCTTGGTACTCTCTTATTAAATCATGTCTGATATTAGACCCAGACCTGCCACTGAAAGCACTTGGACCCTTGTGCATATGCAGAGTCCTAGCTGGGACAAAAAGGTTGTGTCTACATTGGTGCGATCTTGTGCAAAAGGAACTGCTTTTGCGCAAAAACTTGTTGCGTGTCTACACTGGCCGCGAGTTTTTGCACAAGAATACTGATGTTCTAATGTATGAAATCAGTGCTTCTTGCGCAAGAACTATGATGCTCCCACTCAGGAATAAGGAATAAACTGTTCTTGTGCAAGAGGCCAGTGTAGACAGGCAACGTGAATTTCTTGCGCAAGAAAGCCCTATGGTTAAAATGGCCATCAGAGCTTTCTTGCACAAAAGAGCATCTACACTGGCATGGATTCTCTTGTGCAAAAGCAAATCTCTTGTGCAAAGGCACATGCCAATATAGACGCTCTCTTCTGGAAGGGTTTTTGCACAAGAACTCTTCCTCAAGAGTTCTTGCGCAAAATCATGCCAGTGTAGACGTAGCCATAGAGTCTTCCAATGGTTAGAGCACATGACTTGGAATCAGGAGACCTGCATTCTATTCCTACTTCTACCACCAAATTTGCTGTGTAATGTTGAGCAGCTCACGTCACTTCTCTCTGCTTCTTTCCCTCCTACCCTTTGTCCATCTTGTCTATTTTAAATGTTAAGCTCTTTGAGGCATAGACACTCTTACTATGTTTTATACATGGCTTAGCACAACAGGCCCCTGATCTCTGCTGAAGGCTGTTGGTATTGCAGGTAATAAAGGTGAGGAAGGGGGAAGTTGTAAGTAAAATAAATCTTGGGTAACTTCTTATAAACTTAATCCCAGGGGAACATGCCAAAGATTTTTCTACAGCATCATATTAAATGTATCAAGACTAATCCAGAGTTGTGGGAGAACTACTATGAGTATATTTACTACAGCTCTACCACTGCAGCACAAAACAGAGCATAGAATGAGTAGTAAAAAGAACTTTTTTATAACCTACTTCAACAAATCCATTTTCCAAGAGCGGGGGAGGTGAGCAGAATTCTGTGGGGATTATGGACATATCAAAGCAGTGTGGTTCAATCAAACTGTAAAGTAAACATTTTAAGATAGTAAATATAATCACAAAGTTTAAGAGGGTTTTTTAGTCATTCTTCTAAAATACTGCTCTTCTCAGAGAAGCCCCTTTTCAGGGCCAATCTGCGTTCCCTTGTGTCATAATCAGACTAAACTCATTTATCATGAGTTTTTTGAGAGAGAATGTGAAGATTAGAGTGGAGTTAAGCCTATAGGTCCACTTCATATCAGGGTCATAGCTCTGGAATTTCACTCTTTCAGGTTTGAACAAACACAAAAACTTGATGTTTTGGTTCAGTCTAAGACACTGAATTTCTGTGACAGTTAAACAAATTACAAGTAATTTTGAGTCAAAATCATAAATAGTCATAAGATCGGCCATACTGGGTCGGACCAAAGGTCCATCTAGCTCAGTATCCTGTCTGCCAACAGTGGCCAGCACCTGGTGCCCCAGAGAGTGTAGACCGAAGACAATGATCAAGCGATTTGTCTCCTGCCATCCCTCTCCAGCCTCTGACAAACAGAGGCCAAGAACACCATTTTATGCCCTGGCTAATAGCCTTTTATGGACCTAACCTCCATGAAATTATCTAGCTTCTCTTTAAACTCTATTATAGTCCTAGCCTTCACAGCCTCCTCTGGCAAGGAGTTCCACAGGTTGACTACACGCTGCGTGAAGAAGAACTTTCTCTTATTAGTTTTAAACCTGCTACCCATTAACTTCATTTGGTGTCCTCTAGTTCTTCTATTTAGGGAACTAATAAATAACTTTTCTTTATCGGCCCTCTCCACACCACTCATGATATTATATACCTCTATCATATCCCCCTTCAGTCTCCTCTTTTCTAAACTGAAAAGTCCCAGTCGCTTTAACCTCTCCTCATATGGGACCCAGATCTCCCTCTTTGCATTTGAGCTCAAGGTGTTTCCGATCCACTTACCGAAAATGCTGCAACTCCTCATCCTCACATTGTCTGCTTTCAAACTGTTCTCCAATGCAGGATAACCCGCCACCACTAGGTGGTGGATTATTGCATGTTCGACTTCTTGTCTTTCTTCCTCCTGAGCAAGGACTCCAAGAGGACCAGCAACTCCACCTTCCATCAATTACTCCTGTATAATGTTAGAGTGAGACTTGACATTAGAGGTAAGTCTATTGCCCTTTTAGGGGCTGCTGGTACTCCTAAAAGCAGGAAACAACAATTAAAGGGATTGATGATCCTGAACGACTATCTTGGAGATGAATCCAAGATATTACTATCATGGATCTGATACTTTTCTTGCAATTTCAAAAGCCGGCTGAAGACAAAAGCCTGATTGTTTTCCATTCCTTAAACAGACTTTCCCCCAGGGAGGGAATCTTTTGTTTATTCTCCCCATCCCCATAGAAAAATACCAGATTCAAGATGGATTCTAGTTCCAGGTGGCATGGTCACATGTCTTTCCAGGACCAACCACAGTTTGGGCTTATGGGAAAAACAAAACCATTTATAGAGCATTACCTTGAGTACCAAGCAATTATGTTTCTGGAGTATCAGTAATGGCCTCATTAGCACATTTAGACTTATAAAGAGAGCCACACTTTATATGTATAACTTCACATACAAGAATGGTACATGGACAAATATAGAATATACACATTCAGCAGATTATAATTTTAAAGTTACAGTGTTGCATGAAGCATTTTTCATAAAGTGTCTTCAAGTTATGCATATTCATAAGCCAATTCTCACAAAGCATGGGGGGAGGGCTGTGATATTGTCATTGCAAGCAGAAAAGTATGCCTTAAACATATGAAATCTCAAAACAAAGAGTACATACCTGGCTGATCTTGTACGAGATATCCGAGTTCACAAGCTGTTCCAAACGTATATGGTTTGCAGAAACACAGGCACTCAGTTTCTACTATGGCAGGTTCACCACCATTTTGACAAGGCCGACATTTGCAGGGATCATTCTCACTCAGATACTCTTCAATGGCTAGTTTCAGGTAATGCCTTTTAACAGAGGCACAGGTCACTTCTTTTACCAGCTCATACAATGGTGTTAGCTAAAGGCAATAAACAGATAAATTTAAGTATCTTAAGCGTGTAGCAGTTTAATCGCACATTGGTTACATGCTATACTTGGAGTATTTATATTGTGTGGACAGCTCTCCAAAGAGGGAAAACTCTTCATCGATCTTTAATAGGAAAGATCAAATAAGGTCTCATTTACACTCAAAACCAATTCTGGGGATCATTTGTTAAAGTCACTTGCAGCTCAACTTATTGAAACAAAATTCAGCCATGGCTGTGTGAACTGGGTCTTACTAATGCTATGCCATGTAAAAAACTATGCACTAACCAAAATCTCAATGTGAACCTCACCTGTTCACAAACTTGTATATTTTAAGCAATTGTAAGACTTGTTTCATTGTATAATGATTAAGATGATGGAAAAACAATACTTTGCACTTCTAGAACCTTTTCACAGAATTCTACACTTCCTGAGGTCACACTAAATCCCAAACTCATTCATAGAATTCATTCTTTTCATTTTAATCTCTGCCCCACTTTTTGAGCCCTGATATCTAAGCAGATGGATCCCTGTGCTCATACAGAGCAGTAGTGAAATGATTGGGGCCATGCATAAGGACAGGGATCTAACTTTACAAAATTCAGTGCTGAGTCAGAGCCTGGATTTTGATTTTGTAAAACTGCCAGTCATTGCTGTCCATTTTTTTCTCTCAGTCTGCTTTGCCTGTGCACATTTTTCTTATTTTCATTTTATAATGCAATCAGGTATGGTTACCAGATGGTTTTCAAAAAATACCAGACACACTTGATCTCAGATTGGGGGGATGGTGGGGTGTACCAACTGTCAGGGAGCAGGGCTGGCAGGGAGGGGGCCGGGGGCAGGGCTGCCTGGGGTGGGTTTTGGGGGGGGGGAACCGGCAGGTGGGGAGCAGGGCTGGCCTGGGTGCATGCAGATCCCGGGGTGCTGCCCGTCCCACGCATGGTCCTGGCAGGGCGCATGGCCAAGTCCCGCCACGGGGATTCCATCCCATCCCAGCCCCGCCCCCCTCCTCTCTACTGTGTAGTTGCGTACTGCCTGGCTGGTAGACAGTCTCATGCAGTGTGAGCTTGTCTACCAGCCAAGCAGTATGCCACTACGTACTGATATTCATGATGATGATAATAAAACTTACTTAATTAGAAAATATTGGACATTTACATGTCCGGTATTTTCTCAATTTGTTTCCCGGGAAGACAGCTCAAATACTGGACTGTCCGGTTTTAAACCAGACACCTAGCAACCCTACAATCAGGACACAAAATTATTGCCATTTACAACTGGTGCTGATTAACCCCTATATCTTAATCATTTCCCCACTTCAAATAAACCCATCTGTGTTAGAAAACTAGTATCAGGGCTTACCTTTTGTTTAATTATTTTGGGGTAGTATATCACTGATCCAGCCCAGAAGGAATATCTTTCACTATTTCCAGCAGGATTATTCAAATCTATATAAGCAAGGCCAGCAACCGCTGCTGGATTTCCTCCCTCTACATAGGGATCACCTTTAATCTGATTATGACTGCTTCCTACACATTCAGGGATGAGAAATACAGAAGAGCAGCATTGGTATGTTTTCATGTAGCCATAGAAAATCCACAATATAAGGCAAATAGCTGTGTGACCAATTAAAGGACACATTAGCAGAGAATTTAAGTACTCTATCGGGTGTATATTAGAATGGTAATAGCAGACTAAATACTGAAATGATGTATCCCAACCAGGGAAGGGCAAGGGCAGAAGTGCATACAGGGAAAACAGCTCTAGAACCATTCCAAGTCCTTACAGTGGAAATGCTACAGTGTGTAAAGAAGGTGTGCATCTTTTAGAAACCTACCTTCATCCCCTGCTCCTGCAGTGACTTTCTATGCAGATGGCCACAGCAACAGCTCAGAAAACAGTTCACAAGCCTAAGCTTTGTTTGCTCTTACAACACACAGCTCAGTTCTCAAGGTGGCCCCCTAGACCCACCAATGGATTCTCCTCACACTGAACTCACAATGAGCAGCAAGCAGGTGGTCTCCAGGTGAGGAAAAGAGCACATAACCCATGGAAAACAAATCCAACAGAAAACAGATAAGCATGAACAAGATGGTTAGGATGGGAAACTAGAGAGGGGATAAGGCAAGAGAAAGTGCATAGAAAAAAGTAGATATATAGGTCTGGATCAATGAAGGGACTAAGCCTTTGCAATGCTGAGGACTGTGATGCCTAACTTAGAAAATCACAGGAACAACACTGCAGTTCACAAAGCCTGAGGGTCACGGGTGGTGAATTATATGGGCTCGTGGTGCCTGTGCTTCAGCAATATTCAGAGCTGGGGGGCCTGCTCCAGCAATATTTGGAGCTGTGTCTCTCCCCCAGCCCTGCCTGGAGCGGGCCCTGACTCCCCCCGACAATCAGTCGGACCGTCCCTGCTGTGCGCAGCGTTCAGTTGGCTCCCAGTTGCCGGCATGTGCTGCCAGCTGCTGCTGCTGCCACCATGCACAGCATTTCCAGGTGAGTGAGAAGACGCCCAAGCGTGACGTCATGGCCTGGGACTTTAAAACTGCTCAGCATGGTATTGTGTCGCATGGCCTAGCTCCCGGTTCAGAGTCCGGGGACTTCTGTGGCCTGAGCGCAGACTCTGGCCCTGCAAAGTGGAAGGCAGAAGGTAGGGCAGGGCAGGGGAAGGGGGAAAACTAGGGAGAAGGTGTGGGAGAGGAAGGGGCTTGTGTGGAGGGGAGGGGTGGGAGAGGAAGGGGCTTGTGTGGAGGGGAAGAGGGAGGGGGTGGGAGAAGAAGGCAACAAGGGACAGCCTGGAGGAGAAACAAATGCCAGGGGGCCAAATGGAGACAATGAGGAAAAGGGCAGGAGGGGAAGTGTCAGTGGGAGGGGGGACAGGGTGATGCTGGGAGAGGCGAGGGTAAGGGCATTGGGGGCTAGAAGGGGGAAGGGGAGATGCTGGGAGAAGGCTTGAAAGAAGGGGTGGGCATAAGAAAGGTGGGGATGGAGCAAGTCATGTGTGAGGGCACAGAGGGGTATGAGAGGAATGGGGGCAGAGAGCGGTGAGGGGGTGGGCATCAGGGAAAAAGAGGGCAAAGGGGGCAGTAAGGGAAGGAGGAGGCACCAGGAGGGTGCAGGGCTAAGGGAAGGTGCAGGTGCCAGGAGATTCTGGGGGTGAAGCAGAAGGGCAGACACCTGCAGGGGAGGGACCAGCACCAGAGGAGAGAGGCAGGGCAGGTGTGTAGAAGGAGGTGTTAGAAGAGAGGATGATGCGGGGTAGCTCACATGATCAGAGTGGGGCTACTGGAGGAGTGGGCACAGAGAGGAGAGAAGGGCAAAGAGGGAAGAGAAGGTCTCAGGAGGGCTCAGGGCAGTGAGAAGGACTGGAGTCAGGACAGCAGAGGAGGGTGAGGAGTTGGGGGGCAGCAGGCACGAGGGGAGCTGATGGAGTAAGGGGAGAAGACATGGCAGCAGAAAGAAAAGGTAAAGATTTTTGAGATATTTATTAATAACTTGGTTGCCACAGTGGCACATCCAAACAAGCCCCATGAACTCAGTACTGGTGCATGACACAAAATTCATTCTGCTCATGGGAGGAAACTCTTAGGCTATGTCTACACTGGTGGCTTCTTGCACAAGAACATCTTGCACAAGGGTTCTTGTGCAAGAAGTCTTGTGCAAGAACATGTCCACACTGCCATGTACGAGCTGTGCTTTTGCGCAAGAGCATCCATGACAGTGTGGACGCTCTCTTGCGCAAGAAAGCTCTGATGGCCATTTTAGCCATAGGGGTTTCTTGTGCAAGAAATCCCTGCCGAGCATCCACACTGCCCTCTTGTGCAAGAGAGTTTACACCTGTTAGAAAAGAGCGTAGCTCTTGCGCAAGACGCCCTCTCTTCCCCTGCCGTACTGTAAATTTCCTTGCTCAAGAGCAGGTGGGCAGTGTGGATGTTCTATGGGTTCTTGTGTATGAACAGCTGTACTTGCACAAGAAGCCGTGAATGTAGACATAGCCTTAGAGGGAACATTTTCCCCAGCCTTTCTGCCCCCGAGTTAATGTCACACATTGGGTTAATGCAATTGCAGGATAGTTGCATGAGGAGGGTTTGGTGGGGGCCAAACTAATCTTTGTTGGTAGGAGGATGGTGGGAAAAGTCCTTCAAGAGGGGTGATATGACACCTTTTACTTCTGGTCATGTATCCATCTTGCCCCGAGCGTGTTACTTCCAGAGGTGTGGTTAACAGGGGTCAGGGGCATGGCTAATGAGGGGTCGGGGCGTGGTTAACAGGGGTCAGGGGATGTGGCTAATGGGGCACCACCAAAAATTATACAAACCTGCCTCACCTTCCTGAGGTAGGTGCCCTGCAGAAGGCATGAGAAGAATCAGGCACCTAGGAATGCAAACATCTAGTTCGGCCTCCTGCCAGCCTTAACAGATGTGAGTCTAGCCTGCTGTTAAACACTTCCAGTGATAGGGATTCCACATGCTCCCTTGGAAAACTGATTCTAAAGCTTAACTGCCCTTATACTTAGACATTTTTTCTTAATAGCTCCTTTGCTGGAGATAAAGGCAATTACTACTTGTTCTTCTCTTTATAACAGACCTTAACATAGTTGAAGACTGTTAGCAGGTGCCCCCACCCATCAATATTTTTTTCTCAAGATTAAATAAATCCAAGTGTTTTTAACTGGCCTCAGAGGTCAAGTTTTCTAAACCATTATCATTTTTGTTGCTCTCCTCTGCACTTTTTCCAGCTTGTCCACATCTCTCCAAAAGTGCAGCATCCAAAACTGAACACAGCTCTCCAGATGAGGACTCATGAGTGCAAGTAGTAGAGTGGCTAAATTACCCCACACACCCCATCTTACACACAACTCCTTTTAATATACCTCAGAATTATATTTGCCTTTTTCACAACCACGTTATGTTGTTGGGTCATTTTCAATTTATGATCCACTACAATCTCCAGAAACCTTTTAGCTACAGCCTAGTTAATTATTCCCCACTTTATATTTGTACCTTTGATTTTTTTTTCTTCCACTTGTAGTACTTTGGACTTAACAAAATGAAATTCAATAAAGTCGACCTTAGACCAACTCTCCAATTAAAGGTCATTTTGAATTCTCATTTTCGACATATCCTGAAATCTCTATATCATGGAATCACTTACCTGAAGATGATCTTAACACCTCATTCAGTTTTGTGCAGGTGGTTTTTTTCTTTTTTATGAAGAGAAAACGCTTACTTGATGTTGTACATTGGCGCATGTCTAGAATACTCAAATCTGGAAAGAAATAGATCCAGTCACCTGTAGGCTGAAAATTAATTTCTGATTTTGGATTCCTTCGTGGTGCTCCCATTGACTTTAGGCAGAAAACAACTGCAATATTTTTTTTGAAGGAGGGGACAACTAAAAAGCAGTTCTAATGTTAAGGGTTCACAGTAATTAGTAGCAATCCAAGGACAATGCCTAAGGATACTGGCAGAAAGCTGGAGGATGTATTTGTGTATATTTTATTTCCTTTTTTTCGATTTATCCCTTTACTCACCCCCACCAATGCCCCCCCCCCCACACCCAGCATTGGTTGTATCTTTGAGTGCCATCCTATGTGCAGTTTTGACCTTTGCTTTATTTTTATTTTGCTCTGCTTTTGCTAGAGATGACCTTTAAGAAAACCTCATATCCAAACACCTCTGAATTTTGGGGCTATTCAAAATCCAAACCAGGATTAGGATCCAAATTTTGCAAATGGTGTTTTAAATTTATAGTGCATAGAACCAAACGTATAATAGGCTAAAATCCAAATGTCCCTGAACTTTGAGTGTTCAAAACCCACATCAGGATCTAAAAACAGCTGTGTGCGCCCATCTCTAGCATATTATTAATATGGTGACTGGTGAGAAAGCACTGCATGTCTTTTTTTTTTTTTTAATTATTAGCTGGGAGGATCTAGGCAAGTATTTCTTCACTTGTACATTCTCTGTTCACTGTAACATACTCTAGTACTCTACCTTCTGTTTTCATTTTTTCAGTATCCATATAAAAGAGAACTTTATAATGTCCTCCCAGAGATCCAGAGTGCAGGAAGTGAGTACCAAAATGTTCAATTAATCTCCGGTATGCACTATATTCATAGACAGCTGGAAGGTTGGCAAGCTCTTTCCAGAATGGCTCCGTAAGAGTTAGAAATTCTGGGCGATTATTAATGAATTGTGCAACTTCCACATCATTCTCAACAACCATTAAATGGTTACTCTAAAAAGATGAAAATAAATCAGTCATACAGCTATTTAAAAATGGAATGGCTTCTGCCAATCAGCTCATCAGGATTCTGTACTTGCTAATGGACAATAGTTTTCACATATGTTCATTATGTTACCCCTACGTTCTGATTCACTTTTGTCCTGAGTACTTATCATGTATGTATGGCTCTTGTGATAAGGTAATTTTGTTTGTTTAAGAGACTGGATTTTTCTTTTCCTTTGGTTTTCCCTTTGAGGCTCTGTTCTTTCTCCTGTAATGGGTTTTCCTGTTTTGTGTGATAGGACCATCTGAGTGAATGTGATATGACTACTGTGGGAAGTAGACAGTCATTTTCTTTTTAATAACTGCAGCTTTCGTTCTTCACTCTCCACCTCCCCAGAACTTCAAACGAACAAATAGGTAAATGCATATTCCTGCATAATTAGGGAAGCTGCAGCAACCCCTACCTTGAAATAATTTCCATTATAGAGAGGGTTTACAGTGTGCTTCAATGGCTCTCACTACCCCCATTGTAAAAACTGTTCCAGCACCCCTGTATTTCTGTGTAAAAATTGGTTGCCAAGCATGAGCTGGCTAGCAGAGCATGATTGATAAGTTCAGCTGGAGACAAAAGTACTACAGTTCAGAAAACAGAGGCACCTGTAAATTCTCTTTTCTTTGCACCCTAGTGCAAAGTCTGGAGCAGGCTTTCCATGGTTTTATAAGTACCCCACTCATCTCTTTTTGTGACAACTCAGAACTAGTTAGCCACCTGCTCACAATAAATATGGCCTTCTCAGCTTTTCTTCCAGTTAAAGAAGTATTGTACTGAATTTATTAATCTCTTCATAGGTAAACGGTGTACACATTTCTGTGTAATAACATAAAAATGGTTTCTGAAACTTGATAGCAATCAGATATGTGCTAAAAATATATAAGTCTTCAATTAGCTAAAATCTGAGTTTTAGTCCAAGATACTAACATAACCTCAAACAGGAAGCACTCAAGGCATTGAATTAGCACTTGCCTATAATTTTGACTTAAAATAAAGCTTTCTTTTTTCATAAAGGATTAAGTAAAGTTCTCAGTTGAGTTCAGTTCTGAAATAGTTTGTCTTGAAGGTAGGCTATAAAATTTTAACCCTTCATTGTAGAATATTTTTAAATGCCTTTATATACTGAAGAAAGTAATAAGGTGAAAAGAAAACAATATTTAATTGAACTGTTTGGAATAAAATTATCAGCACGGAAAATATTAATCAGTTATGAAAAGAAGCCAGTGAGTTTATTACTCTATAGCAAAAGCAGTCAACAAATCAAATAAACAGATAAACAGCAATTACAATAGCAAAAAATAAACTAACATAAACCAGCCTAAGTTGCACCAAAAGTGCCAGGATAAGACCAAAAAAAACTGTCATGAGTGCTCAAATTATAAAACAATATTGAGGCTTTAATCAGTCATGGAAAATTTTAAAGCACAAAGACAGTATATACATACCTTTTTGCTACTTTCCTCATGTGTTTTTTTGGAATAGTGGTGGCCACTTTTTGAGATTACCTGTCTTTCTGTGTCTTTCATATAAGACCAACTACTGTTGTAAAACTCATAGCTAAAATCATTCTGAATTTTCACCTAGAAAAAGGAAAATGCAGTCCTTTATAATGGCAATTAGATGCACGTGCACTTCCTGGCACAGAGAGACTTTGAAGATTTCTTTGGGTGAATACATTCCAAGTGCTGTAGGAATACAGGATAATCAAACATTTTTGTAGAAACACAATAGTATGTAAGTGGATTAAAGGACAGACCCTGTTCCGGCTGAAATCAATGGGAGCAGGATCAAGCTTGTTAATGATTTGACAGTGAACAAAGCATCCCTCTGGCTATGTCTACACTGCCATTTTTTTTGGCAGAAGATATGCAAATTGCACTCATTTGCATATCTTCTGCCGATCCGTTTTGCTGAAGCCGTTTTGCCACTAAAAAGCCCTGTATAGACAGGGCCATTTGTCAGGGAAAAAAAACATTTTGCGCAAGATCCTGTAAACTTCATTTTTTGAAGAATAAGGGATCTTGCGCAAAAGGGGGGAGGGGAGTTCCGGCAAATGGCTCTGTCTACATGGGGCTTTTTAGTGGCAAAACCTTGTCCACAAAATGGATTGGCAGAAGATATGCAAATGAGAGCACAACTGAGTATCTTCTGCCAAAAAAACCCAGCAATGTAACATAGTCTTAGAGGGATGTAATATTTGTCTGCAAACATCCTAAGAGGCGTATGCATGCTATACTTCTAAAGAATGAGCAGATGCAAGAGCTGCTCATGGTCATAGGAAACCAAGTGAGGACAGACCCAGGCACTCAGTCTTCATCTCTTAAGGCCAAGCCCTTACTATCTCTACCATGCTTTGGCCCTCATCTTGAAAACATTTATGCACATACTTGACTTTAATCTTGTGAATACTCCAATTGTTGGGTAATAATCTTCTCTCTGAAGCCCTCAGTGAGTTGAACACATTCCATGGGCACAGAACGCTTCCATTGAATTAAAGGAGGCGTAGGATGAAGACTTTGACCTAAGCAATAACATTTGGGGTTCTGTTCCTTTCTTCTAGTGATAAATCCTCCACTTAATGATTATTAAAACTACAAAACATATATGCAATTTTCTAGGAAGATATAAACTTAACTCTCAGCAGATGCTTTAGTTAGATTCTTGCCTGGTGTAACTTGACATAACTTCATGGACTTTGATGGAGTTAAGCCAAGTTTTGCTAGCTAAGGATCTGGCACGAGATCTCCAAAACTGCTTTTTTGCTGTTGGCAATCCTATTGCTTAAAAACATAGGCTGTTCAGGGACAATTTCCCAGCTCAGTGCAGTTCAATGGTGCTAATTGCTCCTCTGTCTGGATTTAATCCTTTCTGATGTATTGTGCATTGCCTTCTCCTTGGGGTTGGCTGAGTGAAGGAGCTACCAGCTAACTGAACCAACAGACTAGAAAGTGTGTTTGCCACAAGGAACTCTTCCCAGGAAGACTGTCACCTCCATGAAACTTTTCATACTTTGCATTATTCTCACAGGTCTAAACAGGACTCCCTAACCAAAGGTATAGTAAAGAAAACCTACTTGGAATGTGTAGGCAAGAAGGCTTTCACTCAGCCTGTAGTATTCTCTCTGATCACCACTAAACACCTTTCTGCACTGTCCACCAAAACTTGCAGTATGTATAACTTTTCCCCTTGTCTCTCCAGTAATGGCATCAAAGCTGCAAGAGAAAAAATACACAGATAGCTTAAGGCAACAGAGTTGCTCACAGGAAACCATGGTCAACAGGATGTGAAAACTGATATAATTGAATTGTGTTATATGGGCATTTAACAATCAAAAATGGACTTAGGGCCTTAGTGTAGGCAGTTTACCCTGGTCTACACTAGGAAGTTATTTCGAAATAACTCCCCTTATTTCAAAATAACAAGTGGAGCATCCACACTACCAAGCTTGTTCTTTTGAAATAAGAGGCTGGTTATTTTGAAATAACCCGTGCTTCCACGAGGAATAAAGCTTATTTCAAAATAGTTCTTTCAAAATAGCGGTACTGCGGACGCTCCACTGCTGCTATTTCGAAATAACTGCTTCCCAGAGTCATTCAAAGTAATTACTCCTCCGTGCTAAGTCAAAGTCCACATTAAGGGTAAGCCTACACTGCACACCTATTCTGAAATAAGCTCTTCCAGAATTCCTAAAACTGAAATACTACCTGCATAAGTGAAAAAACAGATTGACAGACCCAAAAGAGAAAATAACAGAACTCCACTTGTTATTGCCCACAGTCCACAATTCAGACTCCTTTATACACAATCTACAACCCATCTTGGAAAATGATCCCTCACTCTAAGGCCTTGGGAGAAAATCCTATTCTCACTTACAGACAACCCCCCAATCTGAAACGATTTATTTCCGGTAACCATGCCACATAACCACATCATAAGCATCCAGGAACCCAGCCTTGCAACCAACCACGGTGCCAACTCTGCCCACATATCTATACAAGCAAATTCATCACTGGAGTCAACAACATAAGCTACCAAATCAAAAGGTCATTTGACTTCACATCCAGTAATTCGATCTATGCCAGCAATGCCCCACTGCTATATATATTGGACAAACTGGAAAGTCCCTCCGGGAAAGAATCAATGGACACAAATCAGATATACATAAAGAGAACATACAGAAACCTGTTGGGGAACACTTTAATCTTCCTAATCACTGTTTAAAAGATCTTCAAGTGGCTGTCTCGTCACAAACCAATTCTACTAGCCAAATGCAGAGAGGCGTTGGAATTAAAATTCATCCGCAAATTCAATTCTCATGCTCATGGCCTCAATTGTGATGAGGGATGGTTGGGACATTATCAGCCTAACATTCAATGAAGGTGCCAACAGCTCTTTGTGTAGATTCCTGTGTTAGGAAGGGTACTGTCTATTGACTTTGATTCTTATCTGCTTTGTTTTAATTACCCAATCTTCAGGTGCTTACTGATTCCCAGTTCTGCCTTCCTGTTTTTCCCTTTGATATTTCCATACCCTCTGCTCCTTGTTTCCTGCCCCTCCTTCCTTTCCTCTCTCCCCCACCCTCTTCTCCCCTATTTATTTTAGGTCTGCACATCCTAAACTCAGAACTCTGGTCATCTGAAGAAGTGGACTGTGCCCACAAAAGCTCATGATACCATCTACATGTTTTTGTTAGTCTATAATGTGCTACCAGACCATTTGTTAGTTTGTACAGGACAAACTTAAAAAACATCTCGGCTACCCTCTGAAGTTTCTATTCTACAATAGTTATTGTGAAATAACTTATTTTGAAATAGCACATCTACACAGCAGAGAAGCCTCAAAATTAGTCCGAGGCAGGCTTCCCTAACGTAGACGTGCTATCTTGATTTAGAGCCCCAGAAAGCACTGGGGAGGAATAACATAGAATGGCCCTGGTGAGGGGCTTTTTCGAAATAGCTCTACACATGCCTTATTTTGAAATAGCTGTTTCGGAATAGGTGTTATTCCTTGCAGAATGAGGTTTAGAGATTTCAAGATAATTTCAAAACAACAGACGGCTTATCTTGAAATAACAGAATGGCTGTGAAGTCACTTGCATTGTTGTTTCAAAATAATGACAGGTACCTAGAAACAATGGTGCAGTGTAAATGCATCCTGAGGGAATTTCTTCATCATCATCCACAACTATGGTCTCAATGCCCATTGGTGTCAGATGCCTCCCTCACTATTTACTTCCATCTTTCCCTGTCCAATGCGGAGTGGCTTTGGTGTGGAGCTAGTCTGCAGAAACTATCTACTATATCATCTACCCATTCTCTGTGGGGTCTACCTCTCCTATTTGAACCATCCATTATGCTGAATATCAAGGTCTTGACTTTTTGCTCATCATTCATTCTGCAGATATGCCCGAATAGCTGTAGCTTCTGCTGTATAACCTTCTGCAGTAGGTTCTCTTTTGGCTATATCTTCCTTTTATAATTCCTCGTTGGTGACCTTCTGCATCCATCCTATTCTCAGGATCTTTCTATAACAACTCATCTCAAATGCCAATATCCTTCTCTTCGAATCTTTCGTTATCACCCATTTCTCGCATCCATACAACAAGCTGCTGAATACACACGTTTTCAAGACACTTAGGAAAGAAGCTAAACTAATTGCTTTGCTTTCCCAGATCTTAGCCATCGCCTTCAAACTCGCTCTTGCTTTTGCTATTCTAGTCGCTATTTCCTTCATACGGTCTAGATCATACATCATGTTGCTCCCCAAATATGTGAACTTCTCTATGTTCTCTAGTTTGATCCCATCTACACTGATCTTCCTTCCTATTTCCTTATCTCCAAATACCATTGTCTTTGTGTTATTGATATTCATAATCAGTCCGTATTGCTTCCCTTCCTCATTTAGCACCTGCATCTTCTCGCTAACTTCTCTTCATCTTCCTCAATGATAACTATATCATCCATGAACCTCAAGTTGTTAATTCTCATCCAGTGCACTGATATCCCTTCTACCTCTTCCTTGATCTTGTCTATCACCCTCTCTAAGTGTGTGATGAAGATATTCGGCAATATCAGATCTTTGTCTTGTACCTCTACTCATTCTAAACCAACTTCCCAACTCTCCGCACATTCTCACCGCTGCCTCCGCATTATCGTTGATATCCTTCAACAACCATATCCGTCTACTATCCACTCCGTACGACTCCAACACCACCCAGGTCACTTTCTGATCTATACTGTCAAATGCCTTCTGAAAATTGACGAAGCAAATGTAGATATTCTTGTTCATTCATCGAGCTTTCTCCGCTATCAATCTTAATGCCAATATCTGCTGTATGGTACTTCTATCTTTCCTGAATCCCTCTTGCTCATCCACTAGATGTTCTTCTATCTGCAGTCTCAATCTCTCCATCAGTATCATCATCAGCACCTTGCCTAGATAACTCGTTAGGGCAATCGTTCTATAGTTCTTGCACTCCAACGCGCTTCCTTTCTTGTGTATTGTCACTAGCACAGATCTTGTCCATTAAGTGCCTTCCCTTCTTTCCATGCTATATTATATAGTCAGTGTATTTCCCGAATCAGACTTTCTCCACCGTATTTGATCATCTCTCCGGTGATCTTATTTCCAGGGCTCTTGTTGTTCTTTAGTCATTTCACTGCTCTTTCTACTTCCTCCTTCAAAATATCGGTCTTGCTCTTGATACTCAGTGGTGATATCTTTCAGTTCTTCAATCAGTCTGTCTGAGACACTTGGGTCCAACTGTGCTTTGTACAGATTGGTACAATATCTCGTCCATCGCTGCACAACTTTCTCCTTGTTCATGAGCACCTTGTCGTTCTCATCTTTGCCATCTGCTTCGGCTACCACTTCCTATTAATATTCCTAATCATCCTATACACCTCCCTGATCTTACACTCCTCATAATACCTCTTTATATCTTCACACAGCTCCTCTAACCATTTCACCTTTTCCATTCTGGCCAATTTCTTTTACTTCATTGCATTTCACTCTATATTGCTGTTCTACCCTCTGTGAGACATCCCTTCTGATCTTCAATGTTCTCTTCTCTTGGACCAACTTCAGTGTCTCTTGCATAATCCACTTCTTATTGATCTTCTCTTCTTCCGGAAGTGTCTTCTCAATTGCTTCTTCTATCACCAAGGCTATCCCTTCAACTCTTTTATCTAGGTCTTTCTCTGTGCCCACATTCCTAATCTTCTCTTTGAGCACTGCTCTGTACGCATTCCCTATTTCTTCCTTACCTAGCCTCGCCACGTCTCTTCATTTCTTAAACTGTCTTATACTTTCTCTTAAGTTTCATATTGATGTTTGCAATCAACATGGATTCCCAAACTGGGGGGCATGGCCTGCTTCAAGAAATTCCAGGGGGGGGCACGAGTCGACCAAGCCCCCCCCTCAAGTTCCTTTTTTTTTTTTGCTTAACAAGTTTTGCTTCTATGGGGGGAGAGGGAACAGTGTGAAGGTGTCTCAAAAATCAAAAAGGGGGTGTGATGCCAAAAAGTTTGGGAACCACTGCACTAGACTGTGGTCCGAGTCCATATCCGCTCCTTGGAAAGTTCGGCACTGCTGTACTGATGTTACCCATCTTCTTCTTATCAAGATCATATCTATCATGTTCTTGGACTTCCCATCATTCGATTACCATGTCCACTTCCTACAGTCCTTTTGTTGGAATCTCATGTTGCAGCTCAGCATATCATGCTCCTTGTTTATCTGGGCAATGTCCTAGCCGGCATCTTTTATCAGTTAGTTGTACTGGCATCAGATTTCATTCGTATTGTTGTTTTACGATCAGCGCATCAACACTCCTCTGACCAATGCTCCTCCTTTATCCAGGCTTGAGACTGGCATGAAACCCCTAGACTCTACATGGCAGAGTTTAAGGGAGCCTGCCTCACACTAATTTCTAGGCTTCCCTGTAGTATCAACATGCTATTTAGAAATAGTTATTTTGGGACACGCTATTTAGAAAGTTATTTTATAATAAACAAGTTATTTCGAAATAATTTCCTGGTGTAGACGTGCCCTAAGTTAGTGAGCACCAATTTACTGATACAGGCAGTCCCCGACTTACGCGGATCCGACTTATGTCGGATCCACACTTACGAACGGGGCTTTCTCGCCCCGGAGGTCGAGGTGGCGGATTGCTACCTGCGAGCTCCAGGGCGAGAGAGCCCCGTTCATAAGCTGCTCCGGTGCCCCTGGTCTGCTGGAGACCGTCTCCAGCAGACCAGGGGCACCAGGTGGGTTCCCGCGCCTCTGAGGCTTTGCTCTGGCAAAGCCTCAGAAGCGCGGGAACCCGCCCAGTGCCCCTGGTCTGCTGGAGACAGTCTCCAGCAGACCAGGTGCACCGGAGCAGCTTACGAACGGGGCTTTCTTTCCCCCC